GATTGGGACTCTTTCACTCTTAAATAAAGCCTCAAATTGGCACAAATATCTTTAATTCTTAACTGGAAAATATTTAATATGCACTTTAAAAAGGATTTGATTTAGAATAAATTCAGTTATAAAATACAAATGTTTAATGATTATTTCATAAGTTCTTGATGTTATTTTATTACAAATATGAACAATATAAATTTGTTTTCTATATCCAAATCATGTCAAGATAGATCTTGGTTTGTAAGACATAATAATCAAAAGAGTTACAGATGTGATTGTTTGCATCAGAGGTCCTCAGGAAACTGATTGGCACTTAGAGTTTTTATTTCAGTTAAAGGAAGTACTTTTTATTTTAACTTGAGGACAAATATGTAATTAATGATGGAAGAAAACCATTAAATTAGTGGAATTTGGAATAGTACCCAGTGCAGTTTCTGAATTTAAATAAGAAAGTCTTGGAATTCCACTAGTCTATAATGATAGGTTTCTAAATTTTTATTTTTCACAAAATTTGAGGTTCTTTCTTGAGTTTTGGTACTAGGCTTAATAGTTTCCCCTCTTAAAATTCCAAGATGAGAGTATTTGTTTAAATTTCACAAGATGACTGAATTAGCAGTCTTATGTATTACAGTATTCAACTTCATTGTGAATCACAGCACTGCCAAACCTGTGTACTTTGTTCAAAGTAGTTTAGAGGATGAAGTTACTCTGGGACCACAAGAGCATTGTGTGTGTGTGTGTGTGTGTGTGTGTGTGTGTGTGTGCGTGTGTGTGTGGAAGAGCAAAATCAAAACTATTACTCTTTGCAGTGTACTATAGAAATCACAGAAGGTATGCTGATGATCTTTGTATTGTACATGCAAATGCTGACTCTTACACATTCACTGGCTTGATGCTACCTAATTTGGACATGTTCAGCTAGGTCTTTGAATTAGAAGTCCATGTATATGTTAACTTTTTTTTTGCATCAATATGACTTTAACTTTCTGGATATATTAAATATTTTTTTAAGTTCAAAATAACCATAGACTTAGTTTATTGATTTAAGAACAAGTAAACCTGTATGTGTGTGTATGTGTGTGTGGGGTGCTGGGGATTAAACCCAAGCACTCTACTGTTGAGTCATAGTCCAAGACACAAAGTAATCCTCTTAAATGGCTTGTATCAAAATAAATAACTTCCAGAATATAGGCTTTGATTTTAAGGAACACATTAAATTAGGATCAGCATGTTCCTGAAAATGGATAAAGAGCTTTAAGTTTGAGAAAAACAAGTAATTTGAGATATTTATAAATTCTAGAACATTCAAATTTAGCACCTTTTTGTTCTGTGGCTTAAATTTTTTAAAGTAGAAAAAAGGCCATGAATAATTTAAATGCATTATAATAAAGCCAATAATATAAGTTTTGATAAAATGCAGTTTATCTTGTAGAAATACTAAAACTAATGGAATTCAAGAGGATTTGTGTGTGTGTGTGTATATATATATATATATATATATATATAATGCAGAGCTGTTTTCAGCATAATTTAAGTGAAATTTGGTATTTATGAAACAGGAAAATATTTTCTTAGTTTACTTAGATAATAATTTATACTTATAAGATTTTTAGATAACATGAATATTACTTTAATACATTAACGGATTATCTCTTGGATAGACACAAATATACAAACTTCTGTTTCAAAGGTATTTGTCCAAGAAATCTGATTGTCACATTACCTTCTTAATCACATTTAATACAATGTGAAGGTGATTTAATATTTTATTTGCTTTCAAACATATAATGACTAATTTTCAAAACTGAATCAAACCACTAAGCTGTCTTAAGCATTGTTTATCACACAGAAGAACATGAACCTTAGAGATGCCTAAATAAATTTGCCTTCTAAACCTGTAACCATCATTTCCCAAAATGTCTTAGAAAATTCTGAGACTACTTGAGAAAGAAATTAATAGATAAAAGGTGGGGAGGACATTTAATAAGTGTTCTGTGGTCAAGTGATTATTTTTTATTGCAGGATATGCAAATTTGTACTGTGACTCAGAAAGAGAACAAAAATCTTCCACTTCATCACTTATTTTCCTTTTATAGAGTAGGCATAGGATAATAATTGAAAGAAAGTTTAGTAATTATGTGGTCCATTTCTCAATGAGTAAACAGCCCTTCTATTTGCATTGATTCCTTTTAAGTTGTTTTTCATTTCAGTGAGGAAAAAAAAAAACTGAATGAAACCAAAATACTATTTCTGTACTATTTTCCATAGGTAGAGCAAAGGACCAGCATAGAAAAATGCACTTGCTAGTGAAGAATTCTCTAAGATGGATTCCTGTATCATAGGAGATCTTCCTCTTAAGAATGTTTTTCTTTGTGGACTTTTTCTTAACAGAAATGGGTTATAAATAATAGAAAAGGAATAGAAGACTTCATATGAGCCAAACAATTTTCAAGAGGCTTGTTTGGTTATTATTTGCCCAATGGATATTCTCCTAAAGTAATTTAAAGCTATATATTAAAAGCATATTTACTGAAGTTTATTGAGTAAAATGGCTCATTGAGATTTCATTAGTTAAGGCTATATTCAGGAATTTTTCTGTTTGGGGACCATCAATAAATGATAATTGGATCTGGAGATGAGAGATCTATTTCAAATTGGAGTTTAATCGATATATTCACATGGTTATATCACTTGATTTGCATCTTTGCTTACATAGCAAATGTAGATTAATATTCTCATATCTCCTAGTGTTCTTTTAAATATAAATGATGTTAAATAAGTCTTATTCTACCTAATTTAAAAACCATTACTATGGAGAAAGGCAGGTTTGCAAGCAACATTAAGTCATTGTGTAAAAGTCCAAATCCTGCACCATGCTTGTTCTGTAAATTTGGTTTTATTGTTTGTACATTGTCTACAGGCTCACTCATTTGTTTATGCACTGTTTATAGCTACTTGCATGCTACAGTAGCAGAATTGTTGCAGAGTAACTGGTTGAATAATTCCAGAAAGTCTACAGAATTTGCCATTGAACTCTTTGCAGAAAAAGTTTGCCAGCCACTGGAAGTGTATTATCTAGTAATCAGAAAGAGCTTAATGGAGCTGCTGTAGGAGGTTGCCATCCAGAAAGTGGTCCAATTGTCATAACATGTATATGTTTGTCTGTGTGTATAACTATATACTATATATGTATGTGTTTAAATTTCCTTATCAACCAGTACTATTCATATTTGACACTTTGTTTTTCTACAGTAATAGCAAAATGAAAGTTGTTTTGGGGACCTCCCACTCAGTTTAGCTAATACTTTTTTGTATACATACATTTTTCGATGCTAAACTAGTATATTTTTTATTCTCTTGTCATTGGAGAAAATAAATATATTTATGAAGATATCTCTTGAGGTACAAACAATTCCACAATTGTAGTTTTATAGACTAATAGATAGGTATACTTGACTATATTTCACATTCATACCATGGAGGCACTCACCTGGTTTTATGATTAATATTATGATATTAATATTCTGTTTTAAAATTTGACAATCAAATTGTTATTAAAATATGGCTATTAATAGTTTATTAACTACTTATTAAATAGTTGAGTCAAATTTACTGGCATATTTAGAAGTCATATTATGTGAACTCTATACAAATGGTTATCCAAGATTTTCTTACTTATTTCAAGACATTTTCTTTTTATATTATTTCAATTAATCAGTTTTTACTTACTATTTGTAACTAGCAAGAATTATCTAATATACAGCAACATTTTTGCAGGGAAGGGAGTAATATTTAAAAATTAAAATATTAAAAATTTAAAATATTGGTTCAGAAGAGGATACTGTAACTTCTAATGATGCTAGAATATTTTCAATTACATTTTTATTTGTTGCTATTTTTTAAATCACGTAAGTATTAAAATATTCATTTTTTAATAGATACACTTTTGCCTGAATAACTTTATTGCGGCTTTAAAATAAGGGGGTATATACATCTGGTAGAAGGTACATTTTTACCTGAATACACAGTGTTTGTGAATTTACACAATGACATTTTATTATGGCTAATCTTTTAAACCTATTAAGCTTATTTTTTCTACTACATAAATGTATAGTATATAATTGAGATTTTTGTTCTCCCATTATATGTATTTATGAGAAATTGAATTTTCCTATAAAATCTCTTAATAAAATTTATAAATATACTATTAAGATTTTTCATATTTGCTATTTGCTAACTGAATTTAGCTCATATTCCAACCAAAGTTTTCAAAGACCCTTTGATATCTATAATTGATTGGTTTTGAGGTAGAACAAGTTACACAGGCCATGGATATTATTTAATGATAGGTTCACCCTTTCCATTTTCATCTCCTTGCACCTATTTTTTTTAAATTGATTTCAGTAATACTTTGTGCCTTTACTGGCCATCTTATGTTCACAGGAGTAGTATTCCAAGGGCCTCTTTCTGGATTCTAGTTCTAGAAAATTCTAATTAAAAACTTCTTTATAAATGGATCTACCTGTATGTGCTGGAGTAACCTGCTTAAATATATGGCCTAAATTTTATGATAATAGTTCCTAAACTTGTATTTGAACCCAGTTTGGCTTACTGAAAATTTTGTCATCACTGAATAAATCTTGATGAATTAAAAGTTCTTATACTGTTATTGTTATCAAATATGTTTGTTATCTAATATATTTTCCTGTATGTAGATGTACCAGAAAATGTTTTCTATCTATTTTGGAAGATTTGCTGTCTTTGCCTTAAATCCGTTTACATTTTATCTAGATTAAAATTATTTTTCCATATTTCAAAATCATACTTTTATTTACCAAATTTCAAACTTTGAATAAATTTCAAAAATAATGACATTTAATTTGTATATACTACTTTGGGTGAAAGTAATATATTAGTCTATCATTTCTTCTTTTATGCATCCTATAAGTAGGAGTCAGATAAAAAGAACTAAACATTAATTTTATGGGTTTTTTTCTACTCGATAGGTGCTATGGATATAGAGGAGAGAAATCGCCAAATGAAAATTAACAAATACAAACAGGTAGCCGGATCAGATTCCAGACTGGAACAAGATTACCATTCAAAGGCAAGACATTTTTCTTTTTAAAAGTTGTAAAATAATCAATTAATCATATGAAGCCATTAGATTCTTTCATACTACTGAATACAGATTAGTCAGACACAAACATAAAATGCAGTGGCCCCATGATATTATTAAGTGTTAAAATTTTTGTGTTTGTATATTAGCTCTTAGGGATAGACTTTGCCTTATTAAAAAAGATTAGTATATAGTATAGGACATTAAAGATCTGAACAATAAACAGACTTTTTCATTTTATAAAATCTGAAACCCCTCAAAAATGTTTAGGAAGAATTATTATCTTCTTTGATTTCTTACAGATTTTTTTCTTTATAGATTTTAGTTAAATCTGGCTTACTATTGAGTTACTGAAACAAATTATATACTATTGAAGTATTATTAGTAATTGAAAAGATCTTTTAGTAAGAATATTTTGAACTACTTTTTTGGGGAATAAGTTGAGGTATGAAGTCTAGCAAAGAAGAAAATAAAGACTTACTTCATTGCTCTTTCTCTTCATGTCCTTTGTTTTCAAATTGTTTTTGGTTCATGACAGGATTGTATATCATGAGTATCATGTATACTGTATTACACATGATACTCTAAATAATAGTGTGAAAGCAGAAGACGATATATCAAGAGAAAATAAAGTCAGGACAAAACATTAAATTCCGAAGTGAAGTTTGTGGACAAAATAGTGTGAGCTATTATACACCTGTGTCTTGTGAGGCATGTGTTTTGACCTTGAGCTTCCTAACACCAGCAAATGCAGAAAGGAAATTATCAGCAATATGATTTATATTGCTCATACAATTAAAAACAATTTCATTAGAAGCAATAACAATGATTCTTGACAGAATTTTATTACATGGCTATCAACCAAAGAAATACTATAAGCATAGATGAGAATATTTTTCCCCTGAAATAAATTTGGATTCCACTCCAATTTATGGATAAATGAATGTTTAAGTCCTCAAAATTGCATAACTTTTGACACCAACCATTGTTAAGTTGGGAATAAAATTCTATGTATTAGCAAAGGACTAATTATACTAAGAAATATAATTTCTTATGTATTCTGTAAAGTAGTGGTTTTTAGTTTCGGAGCAGTAGCATCCTCATCACCTGCATGTTTTGGAAGCAGTTCTCTGGGCTCTCTCCAGACCTGTGGAATCAAAATTCTCTGGTTGGGTTCCCTATTGGGAGATTCTGATATAAACTAAAGCTTCAAAGATAGTTATCTAACCTGAACAGATTGTGAAATTCACTTTTAGATAATTGGAGTTGAATTTCTTAATTACAGTTTTAGCTCGAAGCCAGACATGAGTACTGTTATCAAAAAATGGAGACAAATTTAGCCAGGCATGGTGGCTCAGGCCTGTAATCCTAGAGGCTCCGGAGACGGAGGCAGGAGGATATCAAGTTCAAAGCCAGCCTTAGCAAGAGTGAGGTGCTAAGCAACTCAGTGAGACACTGTCTTTAAATTAAAATACAAAAAATAGGACTGGGGATGTGGCTCAATGGCCGAGTGCCCCTGAGTTTGATCCATGGTACAAAAAAAAAAAAAAAAGATCAATTTAGAGAATAAATCATTTGACATTTTCATAAAGCTTCTTACAGGTTCTAACAAATCCTATCATTCTGTTTTCTATTGCTGGAATTACGTAGTCAGCTTATTCTAAAATATAATCAAGTCATGAAAGTACAATTTTTTTAAAGGGTCCAAAACAAAATGCTATTTTGTATTCCTACAAATTATTTCCTGATGTCGAATTGTCTTGCTGGGTGACCTATCTCCCTATCATCCCTAGGTTGATGTTCTTTATAGGTAGAAAAAGGAATTATAGAGGATTCCTCTTTAGTAAAGGGCATAGATAGATAGGTAGATAGATTAAATTATTATTAGTTTCTATACTAACAGTTTCTCAGATTAAAATTTTTAACATCATCCCTCTATTTTTGTTGAAGGGTGCTTAGCTTGTATATCCATTCTTTACTTCCTTATTTTGATTTAAAATATCAATTACGGAGTCCACTGTAGAGCTCTGTGTTTTAAAATATAAAGTCTTATTTCTGAAAAAAAATCATTTAACAGATAAAAGTACTGTTATAGAGTAGCACAGGGATAAAGATGTCTCCCCAATAGGTTCCTGGTGCAGGTTACTAAAATAAATAACCTTCCCAAGTTCACATAGCTAGGTCATGGAAAGTATTATTTATTGCTAATTTGAAATAACTGGGATGATATCTAAAGCCTCAACATATGAGCATATGCTATATACTTATTAGCTATATTCCTGAAGTTTCAATAAAGTGATTACAATGCTTTGTATGGAATCTAATTGAATGCTAGCCTAGGTTTTTAAAAAACTACAGTTCACATTCTAACTTCCACTACTTCTCTAAAATTCTCAGTACTTCTGTATGGATAGTTGTAAATAATTCTTACTAAGTTTAAAAGAAAAATTTTAGTTACTCTCCATGAAAACATGCAGAGAACAAAACCTATTAAGGTACTATCCTTATAAGACAGTTTTATGTAGTTTTAATAAGAGTAGCAAAAGGCATATGCGGACAGATTTCAAGTTAATCAGTGGATAATTTCTTAGGGATTTTCTCTGAGAAATTCAACTCAAATTTGGTTTTAACTGTGTAGTTCATATACTTTTTCTACCTGTTGTATTCTTTATCCCAACTTGAATGTAATTCATCAGTTGTATTTTAGGCATCAATTATTATTTTTTCTAAAAGATCAGTTTTCTCTTTGTAGTTAAGAAATATGATTTATTAAAAATAAAAGCATAAATTATAGTTTACTATAGGCCAACTACTCTTCTATGTTTAATATAATGATAAATTAATATAATCCTCAATAATTTAAAGTCAAATAATGTGTTCTTATTTATACATGAGAATTAATTTGAAGAATCTTATATTTATTTAACATTTGTTTTTCAAATTAGCTACATTTAATATTTTTAAATATTCCAGAATCAGTATTGTTATGATGATATTTTTAAGGTGGTCCACAGCATTTCAAAGATGCTATACAGTTCATTATTACAATAGTTATTGGAAATCAAAGCTTATTTTTTTGGAGTAACAATGCTCTTTTTTAAAAAGAGCATTTATTGGAAATCTTCCTCCAAAATCATCACAAAAGTATCCTACTCTTACAACACTCATAATTTTAAAAGTTTCTGATTTTTTGCCTCTAGAATTCAGAAGCAATATAACCCATGAGTTGCTCTTAACATTTCAGTAGAGGCCCTAAGCCTATGATAATCCATTTAACCTATTATAGAACAAGTTAACATTCTAGAAGTACAGGACAGTATAGTTAAAAAAAAAGAGTTTCTTCCTTATATGCATGCCTGATCACAGACATTTCTCATCTATATCCTATTAACTATTTTCCCGTTTCTAGTTGTTAAGCACTCATTCACAGATCTCAAAGACATATTGAGTAAAGGAATCCAAATAAACTAGCTTAAAAAATATGAATATAACATATATTTTTAGAAAGCCTTTGTAAATACATATAAAACTAAAATTGATGAAATTATAGACTATCAATATAAAATATTTCAGACAGTTAAAGACAAATTACTTTTGGCAAGTAGACTGCCATTTAACTAGAAAGTCTTATTTTATTAGACTTTATTCTCTTCTCAACACTGAGAAGCCATGTTCAATGCAAATGTTAAATGTTTTACATTGACTTGCAAGAACACAGGTGATGGAGTCATCAACAGAGGAGAGACATGTTGAGGCCGGTTAGGCATGGCCATATATGTACTAATTAAATGTGTGATGTTTATGTAGGAAATCTTTAAGGTTAAAATATCATCAAAATGTGACAGCAGTTTGTGATAGATGAAATCACCTCCAAGAGTGAGGCACACTCTACCTGGGGTGGCTTTGGTGGGTTTATTTCTATATTCTCAACTTCTTTATATTAAACAGAGTTGTGATATCCATTTCATAGGGCAGAGATGTGGATTAAATAAGATGATGTATGTATATAAATAGGTTAGCACCTACTAAATGCTCAGTAAATGATGCAGACAAAATTACTTTATAATAAAAACAGCAAATTTAGAAACGGGAAATGCATATGGTGGGGCCACAAAGAAATGATAAAGAAATAATTAAGCTAATGAAAAGGAGTTTAGCATGGTTCAAATATTTTTGGTTGTTTCCCTTTATTTTATAAAGGGATTTGAGTAGAGAATACTCAAAGGAACAATCAAAGAAAGAATTTGTGAATCTTAAAATTAGTTGGATATTGAAGAAAATATATTATAACATAATGTCTAATGGAAAAATTATAAACAAAACTACTGAAATTAAGAAATTATGCTATCAAGGTCAACATTAAAGGTTACTAGGCCTTGAAATAATTTATAAGCACACATATGGCTAGAGGTATTTAGAAAGAAATACTCTTTCATAGTGGTGGCATAAATAGATATGAAAACTGAAAGATTAAATTTGATTTATATAAAGCAAGTTTTAAAATATAGATAGATGTCCATATACAAATTACTAAGAAGATACATGAAAACACATGAATTTGGTTATGATGAACAAAGGAAAAATGAATTATATTTTAATTTTATAACAATGATTGAAACAGAATTCTTGGGAAAATTTTTTTTCTTAAGCAGACAGTCGTAGTTATTAGCCCAATAACATAGTAAATTTGAGGCAGGTCTTATAGGCGCTGGAGGAAGAGCTGCTATAGCAGCAATGTTCAGAATACCAAGAGAATATAATATATATGGACACCATATTGTTGTTTGATGGTATCATCTGATCAAATAGACTGAGAGAACTCTTAACAAGAGTGATCTCACTAACCCAGTCTCTGCCCAGAAAAGTCCTCATGGAGTCTATCATGCTTCATTTCTGGAAAGAATGAAGTGTCCTCCCTCAGAATAAATAGTATACTGTTTCATGAACAGAGAGGTAAAGTTCAAATTTTCAAAATATTCCTGCTTGGC